GTTGACTTGTTTTTTTCTAGGCTTGATTGTGTTTATGGGGTGCAGTCTAACATGTGTTAATGCTTCGTTTTTTTAAAAAATGCATTCTTTTTCACATAATTTATCTTTATTCCACACCGCTCTGTCCCTTCTCTAAGAAACGCGCTGATCATTTCCTGCTTTTATGAAGCCCCGCCCTGAGAAATAGGCGATGGGTTCTGATTGGTTAGCTAGCCCAGTGTGTTGTGATTGGCCCAACCGTCTCTAGTGCGCATCTAAACGTACCGCCCCTCACCTCAGCGGCATGTGTGGTCCGGTTGTATTGTCGTAACTTTGCAGATATTGTTTATGCTCAAACAGCAACATTACACACTAACTAACGTTAAAAAAGTAAAATCACAATGAACCACCCCTTTAAATAAATGCAGACTTGGACAGCATTTGCAGACTACTTTCATAAGTAAAAAAAAAAATCTGACCCCAAACTTTTAAACTGTAGTGTATCTACATTAAATGCCTCATTTCTCACACTTAATATCTGACATAAATACATTCTTCTGATTGATATTCAGATTTTTAAAGTCTAAAGACACACCGATTGACGTTGTTCTGCTGCCAAGCCAGTTGTGTGTAACACTGGTTTAGTTGGTGCATGATGAGAGGGATTTGAGGAGAAGTCACATTATTGGGCACAACACCATAGGGACCTGCGAGCAGAGCCTGCAGCATGTATGAAAGAGTCTAGAGATGAGAGAGGGGAATAAAAAGGTTGTTAGTATAGAAAAAAAGACAGTGAAAAAAAAAAAAAGTTATCTTAGGGATGCACTGATACTAAATTTCTATACTGATAACCGATTGTTCAAAATTTTATTTTGCCAATAGCGATAGTTTGGTTTTCTTGAGAATAAATCTCTCTCAACTAATGCGGTAAACTATACAGGAAACCCTCTGATTTGGTACGTTAATATACTCTTTACAATTGCAAATAAGGCGGTTTCCATAAAAACTTGTCTTTGTGACAGATTTATTCAAACATACATATATATAATTAACAGTAAATAAGCTTAGTGTTTTTATAGCTTACTAACCAATTGTGGATAACTTATCTGATGTAAATACAATGTTAAGTAACAAAGATCACAAGCTGTTTTATTGATGTCTTTCCACGGTTGAAACACTGATCGAGTGATTGCTTGAGACATGATACGGAACGTTGTTCTGAATCTTTCAACATACCTTCTGATGTTCATTTACATTTCATGCTATCAGTTGTATAAGAGACTCGTGCTCCGCGCTGCCACTTGAACTGAGGCACCACATTTAAGAGCGTCAAAATGGCATTTATTGTTTGAATTTTGTTGAATCAGGCATGTGATCAGCTAGAGACAAAAAAAAGCAGGAAAATCTGACCACGTCCCCGACACTTATTATTAAAAAAATATTTTTTAGCACATTAAAAGATATATCTTATATTGTAATACATACTTTTATACTGTAAAAAAATTAAAAGCAGAATTTAATAATCATGATAATATAATATAATATAATATAATAAAAGTATTAATGGAATTGTAATTATTAAATACCTGTCAAAGGTTTGGAAACATTACAATTATTAATGACTTTGAAATAAATCTATTCTGCTCATAAAGGCTGCATTTATTTGATCATGCTGATGAGATGAAGATGAAAATATCTAGTGGAAAATGAGAATGTTATGTTTTTAATTGTATAATTGTTCTCAATGTTTTGACAGATAGACATCGTCTGATGCCAATTTGGTAGACATCGCCCAACCCTACTTTCACTTTCATTTAATTAACAAAGCACAAAGCTCTTTGCAATTATTGGATAGGAGGCATGCTACAAATAATGTGTGGTGAAGGGAAAAAAAAACGCAGACCTGGGAACCCTGGCTTGAACTTCAGGTGATTCATAGGGTCAAATAGAACCTGCATCAATTAGTGTGACTGCGTTAATGTGTCAACTTTTTCAGCCCTTACAGGTTTCTTCCACCCCTTTTTGATTGACAAGATATAATTGGCCCTGATCATCAGCTGTTTTTAAGCAATCAGCCGATACATCGATGCGTCCCTAATGTTGTACTCTCTGACCTGTTGGTCCTGTAGCAAAGTTTGGCACATGGTAGTGCTGAAGTTGAGCTGTTTCTGAAGGTGTGTGATCTGCTCCTGCCAGTGTGCTGGTGCAGCACCCTCAGAGAGAGACAGATCAGCCGCCCATCGTAGATTCTCCTGCCGTTTGGCTCTACTGGAACTTCCTCTCTCATTCTGTGGCTGCTGACGAGGACGACCCCTTGATCCACAAGGGGAAGGACTTCCGTTAATTTCCCTGTGAATTTTCAGTCTTCAAGAATTGAAAAGACAGTTAATAATTGATGGGTTTGATGTATAGTAAAACTGATTGTGTGCCTGTGTATTTACCCATCTCTGTTATTCCTGCTATAGTTGCGTTGTTTTTGTTTGCAAGCATGCAGCTCATCGGTGGAACTGGACTCCTCTCCCTCATCATGTTCAACGTCAACATCTTCCTCAGCCCCCATCTCAGAGGAGTAATCATCATCATCACCAAAGGGACACTGTGTCGAACCACCCCAGGTGGCCACAGTTCTGATGGAAAAATTATAATTAGCAATAGAGGTCGACCGATATGGGTTTTTCACTGGTCGATGCCAATGCCGATATTTATAAATCAGGGCAGCCAATGGCCGATATATGATGCCGATTTTTTTGGCCGATACGTTTGGCCGGTTTTATGTTTGCTGACAGACACCAGTGTTTCCCACAGACTGCAAATTAATTCTCTGCCAGCAGGAGGCGCTTTGGGAGCTAGAGATATAGCGGTTTCCCCGGTAAAGGCTGTAATCAAATAAGCATGATAACAAAAATAAAAGATTTCACACATATTGCACTGCCTGCTGCTCATAACTGCTTAAGAGTGCACTGGCCATGAGCGAATATATGACATCGTGGAGGCTATTGTCGGACCCACAGACATATTCCATGAGGAAAGTTAACGTGCACGTTATAATCAGCCCAGAAGTTTCGTCTGAATTGAACGCGTTTCTACTTTCACATGCAAATGACTTGTTGCACTTATGAATGATAACTTTCCGGGATCAATTCTAGTAGGGTAAAACATAATCCCGCTTTCGAAACGGTCTGTTTTGCCCTGCCATTAGCTGAGGCTGTGTGTGAACAAGCCGCGGCTGCAGCCTGCAGAGCGTGAGCTGCTCCATCTTACGCAGCCAGAGGGAGTTCCACAACAACGCTTAGCTGCCCGCCAGTGCGCATGCCTATAAATCAGCCTAATTTGCAGCACGATTAATTAAAAAATGCCAAAAATCGGCCGGCCGATCAATCGGTCGACCTCTAATTAGTAACTTACAAATTCATTCCTCCCAGCACATTTATAAAACAAAATTTGAAACTCTAAGCCATGAGTTGTCAAAGCCATGTTTCACCTTTCATCACGGCTGTACGACTGGGTCTCATGTGTGTCACTCCTGAATGGAGAATCGTTGAGTGTGTTTCTCCTCTGCTGCTCTGCCATCAGACTCTCCAAATGTTTCCGCCTCTGTCTCAACTCCTCACGCAACATCTGATGCCTTCGCATCTCTGACCAGAGCTAATACAAATAAAACAAAGACAAAATATTTAAACTTGGGCTTCTTTACCTGTCTACAAACAGATCCCAATAACTTACTCACCCAAGAAACCCAAAAGAAAGAAACCCAACAGATTTCTGTCCCTATACTGAAATCTAAATGTAAATATAGTACATGGAAGCTCAAATGTACTTGATTGACATGCAAGAACCAGTGAGGTTTGCTCTTGCATGTCACGCAGGTAAGACTGAGTTGTCATTGATTATATCTGATGTGCGCTGATCAATGATTTTATGCAAGTAAAAGCCTAAATTTAATCTGTTCATCATATAAAGCAATTGTGTCTTCAGAAGACTTTTATTTAAGTGCTCAATTCAAATGGATTATTTTGATTTCTTTATAAACATTTTGAAGCTTAAAAGTTTTGGTGGAATGGACTTTCAGTTGAGGGACAGAAATCTCTCTGGTTTCATTAAAAATGTTTTACTTTGTGTTTCAAAGATAAACAAAAGTCTCATAGGTTTGGAATGACATGAGGGAGAGTAAAAGATGACAGAATTTCCATTTTTGGGTGAATTATCCCTTGAAAACTCTACCTGATATATAAAGGAGGCAAAACTGGTATTTTGATTACACACTTACCTCATTGTCAGTGACAGTAACTGGAGGAGGCTCAGTGGTGGGTTTGAGGCCACTAGTGTTGGTTTTAGTTGAGGAAGAGGAGTGTAACGGTACATGATCAGGACTAGAGGCTGCTGCAGGAATCTTCCTCATCTGACCGCTGACACTACTGCTCACGGATGACTGACAGGACACAATGTGATAAAAGAAATTAAGACTCCATCTCAGCAGTTGTTTGTGTCTATGATAGTAACCAACTGTAAATTGTGCGTAAAAAAGTGCAGGTGTGTAAAGTACCTGAAGGTCAGGACAGGCCCATTGTAAGTCTTGAATCTTGCCCTGAATCTCCATCAGTCTCTGTCTCTCTTCATGGAGCTGCTTTAGTTCTTGCTGCTGCTGCTTGAGTTTCTCCTCATACAATTTCTCTCTGAAAAACAGATATTATACATACGCAGGACACTTTGTAAAAACATGCTACAGCGTGATATTAAACAAAGCAAGTTTACAAACAACAGATTATGAACTATAAATGCAAGCAGATATCTCATTTCCATAAACAAACCTGGACTTTTCAGAAAGGACGATGTCTCTCCGGATTTTGGGAGCTGTTACTCGGGTGTTATTGGGTTGTTGCTTCAAACCCTCATCCTCATTAGCTGTAGTACCATCTGTATCATCACTCTACAGTAACATTAACAGATCCAGAGAACATGTCTTTAACAGGCTGACAAAAGAAAGCATAATAAAGAAAAAGCAGGCAGGAGAATCTGAAAAACAGAGTTTGCTTATACAAGCTATACTCACAACATACTTGCACTGACATATAAATTTATGCAATTAGCAGATGCTTTTGTCCAAAACAACTTACAAAAGGGCCAAGAATGTTCATTATATACATTGCCAGGTTTAATAAGAGACAACTTGATTAGGAAGCAAGCTAGAGAAGACTTCTTTTTTTGTGTTTGTGTAAGTGCATTGGTTTAAGTGTATAGGGTGGTTAAGTGCTTGCAGAAAAAGGTGTGTTTTTAGCTGCTTCTTGACAGATGTGATTTTCTCAGCAGTCTGGTTGAAGATTGACAGCTCTGCATTATGAATGACCAGAACCTCAAATCACCCTCGTGGCTCCAGACTCTCACCTGCACCATGGCCACCAGTTCTTGGAGTTGTCTGAGTTTCTGTTTGGCTGTTTGAAGACGTTGGACTTTCTCAGCATAATCTGTGTCACCACCTAGACTGCTTCTACGACTGGACCCTGAACCGTCACTGCCTCTGCCTCTGCTTCCTCCTCCTCCTCCTCCTCCTCCTCCTCCTCTTGCCCCATCACCATCCTCCTGTGCCTCATCATCATCCTCATCTTTAACACCATCGTAAGGCCTATCCCGGTTGAATTGGCATTCTAATATGATAATGCAAAAAAAATAAATAGTTAATAGGTTGCTAGTAGAGACCTGCGCGGGACCGATTTTTCAGCAGGATTCTGTCCCGCACCCGCCCTTTCCCACAGAAATATGTTATCTCATTCCGCTCCCGCCTGCATAAAAGTAGCCTATATAGATTTTTTTTCAGTACATGTGAAATTCACATGAAATAGTAAGTTCCGTATCGCCTAGCCACAACAGCATAAACGCTCCAGATAAAATATTTGTTATTAAAGCATCAACATTCACAAACCACTGTTATTTTTAACAGAAATGCAAGCATAGGCTGCTGCATGCATGGTTTGGGCTTGGCATGGCAGAATGCAAGCAAAGAGCACTCCCTTTATAATCAGTAAAAAAAAGCTGACAGATCAGTTCATCGCGATCTCACAAAGCTCTGTTATGACACAATGAATATATGCACAATGGATCTTTCATAATGTCTGCACTTCTTGTGTTATAATGAGAGAATTCATGAGCATGCAAATTTCAGCACTGCACAAGAACTCAGTCATTTTGAGTGGTGAGTGGATTCTAACTTAAACACCTTTGATTGTTAATTGCGTTCCAGAAATCAACAGATTTGTCTGTGATTGGCTACATTGCTCAGCGCTGCAAATGTGTTATAAGTGGGCGGAGCTGATGCGCAAACGGCATTCTCATTGGCTGGCATTCATCTATTACCATCCCTGTTTTGATTTCAGCAAATCAGTTCGAGCGAACGCTGACAACTTGATTAATATTCATGAACCCAGCAGCTCATCAATCCTGTGCGTTGTATATTCTTTGTATAGTAGTAGTAGTAGTAGTAGTATTTTTTAATAATAATTACTATTATCTATTACTATTAATATCTATTACTTATCTTTTTTTTTTTTACAGAAACCAGGGCTCGCAAAATTTCAAAATCCCTGGTAGCCCTTCGGGCAGGTACTCTTCAGATTTTGGTAGCCCGAAAATTTATTTAACTAGCCCCAAACAAACAAAAAAAAAAAACTTTTCTTTTTTTATATAGAGTTTAAATGTCAATCAAAAATATTTTCAATACACAAATATCAACAAATATGAAAGAAGGAATTTTATTTCACTATTTACAGGTTATCTGCAGAATTTTTAAAAATAAATTTAAGGCGATTTATGACCCATTTTAAGAGCTGCACAAGTAAAATGGACATAGTATGAGTGGGGTTGGACAATGTCTGTGTTAACACAGTATTGAGCCATACAATTACATGACTTACAGTTCAGATACAGGTTTTCACAAAAACAAAAAT